TTTGGAGAAGAAAAGAAAAAAAAGAGAATGCCATCATTTTGACCTGTGCAGATTGTGTGTGGAACAACTGATATTTGCAGGGTCCTGGCTAACAGGAATCTCATAATCCATTCTTATCACGTTAAGGTCTAATAGTCTGCTTTAAGAAGTAGAAAAGGGAAATAGAAATGGTTGGTGGAAAGAGACAACAAAATATACAGCGGAAATAAATTTAAATCTATGGTCACTTGATCAAAAGCAAGCTAACACAGCCTTTTTAGTTATGGGAAAACTTAATTTCCTGTGGGAAGGGAGAAAACAATTTTGTTCGTGGTAGCACTTTTTCTTTTCAGCTAGAAATGTTGAGTTTTTTTAGGAAATTCTTTACCAGTTAGAGTGACAAGGCGAATTCAAGAATCTTTTTGTTTCCTGAAACAAAGTGGACTTGTTTGGAGTCTTGGGAACCTGAGAGTAAAGTGAGTGGATCATGTGCTACAATTCTTGTTTTGTTTGTTTTTACTTTGAATTTGCTTTAACTTTAAATATGCTTTTAAGACAGGAGGACCAGTGACTTACAGGACAGACAGTTTTTTATCTGTAAGTACAGGAAGAAGTAGGATGTAAATAAACATTAGTGACATACCAGTCTGCTGCTTCCTTTTCCGCTAACTTCTGCATTTAAGCTAGAACAGTTTCTTAGGAAATATCCCCAATATGTCCATTTTGTATTTCAGCATTTATAGTCTGAAATATGTCAGAAATTCACCGAGCTAATCACATTCTGAGCTTTTTCTATTATAGTGTTTCTTTAGACTAATGAAATTATTATAATTTTTAAGAATGATTTATGAAATTAGTTGCTAGCCTTCTGATTTAACATGAGCATTTAACAATTGTATTGCCATTGTTAATTTTTTCCTCTTGATATTCCATTTCCACTGTAGCTTGTATAACTGCAAAATAAACAAAGTGGATTTAATCCTAGAGCTTCAGATCAAACTACAGCACTGCCTTCAGAATGTCAAGTTTTTCCACCTAAAATCTTAGAAGGTAGCAAGAAACAGCTGTGCTTAGAACAGTTGCAATTATTTAGGCTAGATATTTTTTTTTTTATTTCCTTTTCTCCAGGAGAGAGAATACACCCAGTAGATAGAAAGTTAATGGGTGGAGCTTGGAAAAGTTAATGTTATGCTAGAACATCATTCAAGTTACAGAACTGGAGACAAAGGGGTTGGGAGGAAAAAAGATAATTTGTTAAAATTAAAAGTCCTTGTGTAGCTGTGCAACCCTAAGGATCATACTGCAATAGGCTTGAATTAAAATTTGTGTTTATTAAAACTAAACTAAAATATGCTATTTTAAAAAGGAGGCTGTCCTTAAATTCCATGTCGGGAATTAAAAAATACTTCTCTTCAAGAACCACAGTTTTCTAGCTTGGGTCTCTTGGGATCTTGGTGTGTCAAAACCCCATGTTCTGCTGAGCCTCAAGGTCCATTTGGTGCCTTGCAAGCCCTGTAAAGGACTGAAATAAATGCTTGTTTTCACCGTGAGACATCAGAAATCTTAACATTTCAGCTGCACAGCACTTAGTTCTTCACTTTGAGCTACCTGCTTACAGAGTTCTGCATCAGGGTAGGGAGTAGAGCATGCACTGGTCCTGGGTGGGGTGCACCTGTGGCAGGGTGTTGCAGGCTCTGCCTGCCAGGCACAGATTGGCATTTGCATCCTTTCTTTTCTTTCCTTTTTCCTTACTTCTGTGTTAGCACTGCAGCTTATAATGAAACCCAAACCCCAGTCTGGCACTCTTAAAATAAGAGTTGAAAATCAGTGATGAAAGTACTATCTACCTGCTACAAGGACTATTCCAGACATTAGAGTTTAAAAGCAGATTTAAAAAGCTTTGAAGAGTTTAAATTCAGCTGTGGAATAAAGAAAACCCAAATTCATTATGATACAGTACAGACACGTTGTTCTGAGTGCCTCTTAATAGTTAGATTTTTAAGCATGTGCAGAATTACAATAAAAGTTAACTTGTATGGTTATTAGTTTAATAAAATCAAACACCACTACATGTAATGATGGATTTAAGACAGAAGATATCAAATTTATTTGCAGCCTGTCCGAATGTGTCTTATACTGTGTGTAGGTTTTTTGTTTTTCATTTTGGTTTTAAAGACTCAGAGCATTTAAACATTTTAGACATGTGAGGACAGAAACCTGTTTTCAGCTCTTGGAATTGATTTTTGCTAGCTAGAAAAAGGTCTGTCTGTCTTTTATGAGACACAGTGTTAGTAATGCCACAGAGGAGGTTTTTGTGTTTTATAACTGCTAATCTCTGCCAAAACAGCAGCTCTTCTGTGAGTATCAGTGACTTGAAAGAAAAGACATGTTGAGAACACTGAATGTGGTACTTCTTGGTGTAAAGCTCCTGTTACACCATGCTGCCTACAGCCTTACAAAGAGGATCACACAGGCTCTGTTGTGTTTCCTAACCTTTTTAGAAATCATTTTGTTTGTGCAAGACAGAGGTCTGGTAGAGGTGATCTTTAGCTTTAGATTTTTTTTTTTTATTGTTCTTTCTAAGTCTTTAGTTGGAACCACTTTGTGCTCTGTCATTTCTTTCCATTATTTCATTGTTTAGAGCAGCTATGTCTGCACTGCTTGGGTTTCAGTGCTTTATCCATGTGTTCTCATGGCAGAAGCAAAAAAAAATCACCTTTATTCTGTGAAAGGAATTCTGCAGGCTGTGCCCCAAACCGCAAAGAAGTAACTTCCCACGTAATTAGCTAGTGCAAAGTTGAGGGAAAGGCTAGCCCCAGAGGAACAAGCAGTAGCAGCTACCCATGTTTGTTAGAGCAGACATCTCATTCCTCCTCCCCATCCTGCTTGCCTTCCATGCAGGAAAAAAAAGTCACCTCTGCTGCTCTTTTGTGATTCTCCTGTCCTGGGCAGGTGATAGTTGGGCCTTAGGGGTTTGGAGGATCCTTTATCTGTTCACACTAGCACAAATGACTAATGCTATTCATTTGCGCACTGTTGTTATTTAAATGTCGAAGGTAGCAATTCTGGGGCAAGCAGCCATGCTGTGACTCAGTGTAGGGAAGTACTGGGAGACATTAGAGGAGATGGGAGTTTGTAGTTAACTCCCAAGTTAGGCACTGGAGGCTTTGATAGCTGTAGGGTGTGTTACTGGTCTGTCCTTCCGCGCCTTCTACATCAACTACAGCCCTGGGGAGGTGTGTAGGGAAAGGCTTGGGAACCGTGCTGCTGGGAGGGGGCTCTGGTGGAGCTGGGAGAACTGTAAGACCTCGACAGCTTGTATTACTGATGAGGGAGGAGTATTTGACGTGCATTTGCCCACTGGAAAATAAAGTGAGAGCTGGAAGCTCCTTCTGCTAGTTCCGTGAGAAACTGAGTCCTAACTTTTAAGTTTTGGCAACGGTACCAAGAGCACCAATGGAGATGAGTGCTGCAGTGAGATAAAGCCCTCTCCTATCTGGCTGCTTTCACCAGATCCCAGGCTTGGTATGCAAAACCGGTAAAAGCTTCTGGGAGGAGAGTGTGGGAGGCCGGGGGCTGGATCCCTCTCTGTGTTGGAGGAGATGCTTTCATCACGAGCTCCATGCCAGTAAAGAGGACCGCTGGCCTTTCCCACAGACCAGGATCTGGGAGCTGCTTGCACTGGTGTGGGAAGGGGGGGTGCTCATGCATACCGTCAACCATATAGGTGGAGGCTGATATTTGGGTTCTGCATATAGAAATGCCTGGTTTCCAGAAATAATTATCATGTTGTATATACATTGCCTGTGACACTGTCTTTTAGGGTGTATAAGGTGCAGGTCTGTATGAACTGGTATGCTACAAGTTAAAAATAATAAATCTAATGCATCTTAGTACTGCCTGCTTTGATCTCCTTGTGCTCTGCTAAGCCCTTCTTCTCCCAAGCAAAGGGAGCCAGACTCTGTGTGATAATGTACATCCTGTCTTCTTCCTCACTGCATGTGTGTACACAAGCTAGATATTTTTCTTTAGAAGTGACAAATTTGGGTCATAAGTTCAGCAGTTAAAATGATGATTTTACCACATCCTGCTTGCACAGGAAGCTTATTTTTTTAAAAAGCTGATAAGTTGAGTCCTCTATATTTTGTCAAAACAAAAAGCAAAGCTAGCTGTTAAAAGCTGCAAAGATGTTTGGATTCTCACATGATCAGTTTGCTGCTTTGTCTCACCGTGCATATGTTTCACATCAAGTGAAAGCCTTGCAGTCTGCTCCTGTGTTACCTGCACTAACCAGCTTCCTACGATCACTGGTCTGTGATGATAATCTGAAAAAATGTTTTCCCCATTATGTTAAGAAAAAGTTGTGGTTTTTTTTTTTCTTGGTTAGCTGGATTGAATTTAACTGGGGAAGTAAAATGCATACAGTACCATTTGATGCAATCACAGAATCATAGAATGGTTTGGATTGGACGGGACCTTAAGATCATCTAGTTCCAACCCTCCAGCCAGGGACAGGGATGCCACTCACTAGATCGGGTTGCTCAGCACCCCATCCAACTGTTTCTTACTTTAAAGCATCCAAGCATATTACAAATTGTGTCAAATATTCACATAGTAACTGCAAGGCTTTCACTTGTGCAGTGGTACCTATAAGGGAAAGGAGACAAATCAATTTGGTAAGACAGGTGGCTGCTCAATAGCAAGGAGTGGGAGATGAAAAGAAATGAGGGACCTTGCTGGCAATGTAACAAGAGACCTAAAATGTGCTGTCCAAGTAATGAGCAGAGTGCAAAGCATTTAGGAAATGCTCTTTTGTTTAAATGCAAAGTATTACAAAATAATGCTACTGCTGGATTTTATATGCTCAGACTCAAGTAGTCATTTTTACAGAATTGAGTTTTGTGCAGCATAGTCCTGACACTGCTTTTCTTGTTATTAATACATACCAGCTATGGCATTTTACTTTTCACATATTATAATTTCACCAGTCAACAACACTGATTTTGTCTTTGTTCTCTTGTAGGAATGTTTACCCTTGCAGAAGTTGCATCGCTCAGTGACATCCAGCCAACTTACCGTATCTTGAAACCATGGTGGGATGTGTTTATGGATTATCTCGCTGTTGTTATGTTAATGGTTGCCATTTTTGCTGGAACCATGCAGCTGACAAAAGACCAGGTGGTCTGCTTGCCAGTTTTGCAGTCTACTGTAAGTTCAAAAGTGCAGCCTGATACATCAGGAAAGGCTGACTTTACCACTGTTGAAACAACCACTGGTCCAGGAGAAGAAGCGTCAATGAGAACTGTTTCCTTCGAAAGTGCCCCTACTGCAACACCTGACATTTTTCTGAGCGGAGCTACCTCTTCTCAGTATCAATCCACTGAATCAGGCCAGGAGCTGAAGAAGGAGCAGAAAGATTCCTCAGGCCGTAAAACAAATCTGGATTTTCAGCAGTACGTATTTATTAACCAGATGTGCTATCACTTGGCTCTTCCGTGGTACTCAAAGTATTTTCCCTATCTTGTTCTCATCCATACTATCATTTTAATAGTCAGTAGCAATTTTTGGTTCAAGTATCCCAAGACTTGCTCAAAAATTGAGCATTTTGTGTCTATATTGGGGAAGTGTTTTGAGTCCCCTTGGACTACGAAAGCATTGTCCGAAACGGCATGTGAGGACTCCGAGGAGAACAAACAGAGGTTAACTGGTGCCCAGTCCCTGCCCAAGTATGTTTCCACTAGCAGTGATGAAGGAAGCCCAAGTGCTAGCACTCCCATGATAACCAAATCTGGCTTCAAATTTTCAGCTGACAAGCCGATGATTGAGATTCCCAGCGTCACGATTTTAGATAAGAAAGATGGAGAACAAGCCAAAGCACTGTTTGAGAAAGTCCGTAAGTTCCGGGCTCATGTGGAAGACAGTGATCTGATTTATAAGCTCTATGTCGGCCAGACCGTCATCAAGACTGTCAAGTTCATATTTATACTCTGCTATACGGCAAACTTTGTCAACACCATTAGTTTTGAACACATTTGCAACCCGAAAGTGGAACATCTGATTGGCTACACACAGTTTGAATGTACACACAATATGGCTTATATGTTGAAGAAGCTGCTTATTAGCTATATTTCCCTCATTTGTGTGTATGGTTTTATCTGCCTCTACACCCTTTTCTGGCTGGTCCGAATACCTTTAAAAGAATATTCTTTTGAAAAGGTCAGAGAAGAGAGTAGCTTCAGTGATATCCCTGATGTCAAAAATGATTTTGCATTTCTCTTGCATATGGTAGATCAGTATGACCAGCTGTATTCTAAGCGCTTTGGTGTCTTTTTGTCAGAGGTGAGCGAGAACAAACTGCGTGGCATTAGTTTAAACCACGAATGGACTTATGAAAAGCTTCGGCAACACGTTTCCCGCAACGCCCAGGACAAGCAGGAGCTGCACCTCTTCATGCTGTCGGGGGTCCCCGATGCAGTGTTTGATCTGACAGATCTGGATGTGCTGAAACTGGAGCTGATTCCCGAAGCAAAAATTACCGCCAAAATTTCCCAGATGACAAATCTTCAGGAGCTTCATCTGTACCACTGCCCTGCGAAGGTCGAGCAGACAGCCTTCAGCTTCCTCCGGGACCACTTGAGATGCCTTCATGTGAAATTCACAGATGTTGCAGAAATTCCTGCGTGGGTGTATTTGCTCAAAACCCTCCGTGAATTGTACTTGATAGGCAACTTGAACTCTGAAAACAATAAAATGATAGGGCTTGAATCTCTTAGAGAGTTGAGACACCTTAAAATTCTCCACGTGAAGAGCAATTTGACCAAAATTCCCCCCAATATCACAGATGTAGCACCACATCTGACAAAACTAGTCATTCATAATGATGGCACTAAGCTTGTGGTACTCAATAGCCTTAAGAAAATGACTAATGTTGCGGAGTTGGAACTGCAGAACTGTGAACTGGAGAGAATTCCCCATGCCATCTTCAGTCTTTCTAACTTACAGGAACTGGATTTAAAGTCAAATAGCATACGCACAATTGAAGAGATCATCAGTTTCCAGCATTTAAAAAGACTGACTTGTTTAAAGCTGTGGCACAATAAAATAGTCAGCATTCCTTCCTCCATTACCCACATAAAGAATTTGGAATCTCTTTATCTCTCGAATAACAAACTCGAAACCTTACCTGCCGCAGTGTTCAGTTTACAGAAACTTAGGTGTTTGGATGTAAGCTTCAACTCAATTGCGGTGATTCCAGTGGAAATAGGTTTGCTTCAAAATCTTCAGCATTTTCACATCACGGGAAACAAAGTCGACGTTTTGCCAAAACAGTTGTTTAAATGTGTTAAATTGAGGACTTTGAGTCTGGGACAAAACTGTATTACCTCAATCCCAGATAAAGTAAGTCAACTGTTGCAGCTGACTTACCTGGAACTGAAGGGAAACTGCTTGGACCGTCTGCCAGTTACGCTGGGGCAGTGTCAGCTTCTCAGGAAAAGTGGGCTCATAGTGGAAGATCACCTCTTTGATGCTTTGCCCTCAGAAGTTAAAGAGGTGTTGAATCAAGACACAAGCATTCCCTTTGCTAATGGGATTTAGAGGTGAAATGCTCTTATAGCTGACTTCCAAATGGCAGATGCTAAAAAGTACGGCAATTGTGAGATCGTGTGTTTTAGAAAGCAGAATTCGTTGGAAGGCAGGACTGCTAGCAGGTTTAGAAGAGGTGTAACTGAGTGTTCAATGTTTGCAGTGTTTCACAAGATCATTTCCAAAATTTTTGAGAGGACAAAGAACCTTAATAATCTCAATTCTTTTTTCCTTAAATTGTTTGTAACTTGGATGCTGCCGCTTTTGAATGTTTACAAATTTGCTTGCCTGCTTCAAGTTAATGATTAAATTGATGACCTTTTCTTACTATGCAAGTTATTCCTTAAGGTCTGGTTTTATTTTAGTGCATTATGGGGAGGAAAACCAAGGCTAAATGTTGTATGTGGTATGCGTCTAACAGCACTTGAAGCACACGTTGAATTGTGTTGTTAGTGTTTAGCCATCCTTGGCAAATGAAAACAGTTTGGCTGTGATTTGAGCTGCACCAGAACCACCATTTCCCTGCATTAAGGTATGTGGTTTCATAGAATCATAGAATTGTTTAGGTTGGCTAAGACTTTTAAGTTCATCAGGTTCAACCATTAACCTAACGCTGCCAGATCCACCACTAAACCATGTCCCTAAAACCCACATCTGTACTTTTTTTTGAATACTTCTGGGGATGGTGATGCTACCACTTCTCTGGGCAGCCTGTTACAATGCTTGACCACCCTTTCAGTGAAGACATTTCTCCTAATGATCTAAACCTTCCCTGGCACAACTTGAGCCTGTGTCCTCTTGGCCTGTTGCTTCTGGCAAAAAAGACTGACCCTCACCTCACTCCAGCCTCTTTTCAGGTAGTTGTAGGGAGCAATAAGGTCCCTTCCAAGCCTCATTTTCTCCAGACTAAATACCGCATCTCCCTCAGCTGCTCCTCATAAGACCTGTGCTCCAGAATCTTCACCAGCTCTGTGGCCCTTTTCTGGACACTCTCCAGTACCTCAATGGTTTGTATCATTCTTCATCCTCAAGGCCTCATGTTGTTGGGTGAGATTCCTTGTGTGAGATTCCTTCTGTGGTCTAGTGTGCTGCTCCTTTACTCCAGCAAAGAGTGGTCACCTTCCTGCAGCCGGTCCACCCCTCAGATTCCATAATGCTCCTATGCAGCAGTAGGTGGTGAAAGGGAGAATACAGCCTCTTGGCATTCAAGTTGTGGATAATTTTGATGGTTGAACTGTTTTGCAAGGTGACTTGGAAAGTCATAACGCCAAGTGACTTTGCTGATCATATTTTGCTCTTCTGAGTTTTCATCTGGAAAACTCAAGACGTTTTATGAGTTGGTGATTGTTTTGTTTCCCAGCCCTTGATTAGGACCTGGGGTGTCTGTTTCATTTACTGGACTAATGACAGACATAAGATTTTTGATTTACTCAAACACCTGTTGTGGTGTCTTCCACACCTGGACTTTACCATAGGACCACCCTTCTCCTCACCCCAGACCACGTAATTTGATGTCTTTGAACACTTACACACTGTTAACAAACCCTAACTGTGTGCCAGATAAGTCATCAAATAAAAGAGAAAAACAGCAATGAGTGTGGGATTTTGGTGTTGTTTTTTTAATTTGAGTTTGCATTGCCAGAACCATTAGAGAAATATAATCCATTAAATCTGCAAAATCATCAGTTGTAAATCTCAGTCATTTACATTCCATGTGTGCAGAAAAGAAGTACTATGCTGGAGATGATTGCATGATTACTCATGGTTTAAACACAATTCCCTATTGTAGTGTGGTCAGGACTGAACTAGTCTGTAGTTTAAGGGACTGTTCTTCTCACAGAAATCCTCATACACAGTGATTTCTACTGTAACTTAACTGGAGCTGCCCTGACTCATACCACTGTTAACGAGGGGATAGTTTAGGCCTAGAGGCATTGAGCAGGCAGGAACATTTCAAATACTGTCTTAGGAGTCTTGCACATTTTATTGTTAATAATTTACTGTTAGTCGTGCTGGGAGGACTGTTCTCAGCTGTAGGTAGCAGTCTCTGAATACATACCTGCACCGTATGTTTATGTATATCAGAAGACCAGTTTATGAATAGTGGTTTTCCTACTTCTCATGGGGATATGGTCTGTTTTCCACTTGCCAGCAGGTAGTAAACTTGGGATGTTGGCAGTTTTACAACACCAAGTCACAGGTTAGGCAGAATACTTGCAGTAACTGATCTGTCCTCCACTGAGAAACTTAGTGCTAATCCTCAGATTTTTATGTTTTTTTTAAAGTAGAAATTAGGGCTGCAGTGGATTTTTTTTTTTTTTTTTTTTTTTTTATTTTAAGAAACTCTTTAATTTGTTTATTTTTTGCACATAGATCACTTTAAAATTGCTGGACTATTGACTCTTTAGAAAAACTGTGGAATATACTATTGGTGTATTCTTTGTATTTGTTGTTGAGTGTCATTTCAGCTTCCAAGAAATTGTGTGTAGGAGGGAGGAAGAGTTGGAGGATGGCAAAATAATTTAAATGTTTAGAAAAATAGTTCTATTTTTTATCCTTTTTGCTTTTCTTAAATAGAAGAGTCACGCAGAATGTGGCTATGTATTGATCTAGCTTTTAAAAGCTTTTTTTGGTGTTTCTGATTCTTCTACTGACCCTACTATGTTCAAAAAATAAACCTGTATCTTTCATACGAGTATAGAAAAAATGAGTTCATAAAAATGAGTTCATATGAGTTCAAAAAATTAACCTGTGTCCACTGAATGAGTATGTTATACATAATTTAGCTCGTTGTTTTGACTAGTTATTAGCCAACTGTGCTTCTTTAGACAACTTCCTCCAAAATAAGTGTATGTTAAAGTTAATTTCAGGCTTCTAATGCTTGCTCAGCGTAAACTCCATTATTGTTTTTTAGGAAATCTTTCTCAGAGTGGGGGGGAACTGCCCATAATCCCTGTGTCACCTCCCCCCAGTCCTTCCTCCTCTCTGTGACTGTTTATAATGTTCCTATTTCCTGCGTGTCAACTGACACAGTCTTGCTTTAAAGTCTTGGAAGTTCATCTCTTTTCCATGTAAGGCATGTAAAATATATTTTGCATTTCTATTTGATTTAATAAATAAGATGTTTATATCTTCCTCTATTCTATTTTTTTAATGGGTGAAAAGTGTGTTTGCATAGTAAAAGCTCTGTAAGTTATGCTGAACTTGTTCTGAGGTGCCTGTAATCTAAGAAGGAAGAGGTATGAGTTGCTGCTCCTAGGAAGTCCTACAGGTGTGGTTTCTAACTAGGATCCAGTACTTCAGCATAATTTTTCTCTTTTTTTCCCATATATACAATCTACATGACCTACCACTGTTTTAATTTGGCTAATGGAGTTTTGCAGAACGTCTGTATGGCCCCGGAAGAAAAACTTCCATGTTTGTTCAAACGAGAGGTAGTAAGAAATTGCCCATTCTGTTTGTTCCTGCCACTGTAATTCACTTCTGTGGAGATCCTTTAGTTTTCCAATAAATGGACCTTTTGGAAGGTGCTTCCAGTGATGCAACAGAGCTATGGCTGTCCTAAGCAGGTATCAAGCCTCTTGGTGTAAGGCAGGATGCTGACACTTGTGAAAGGCTTTCCGCTGCTAAAAAAATGGCTTTGCCTGAGCTGCCCCCTCTGGTAGCAAAGTGTCTGGATGCCCAGACACTGCAAGTCATGTCTGAGTATGGGGCATCTGCTTTGTGGACTGTATTTTTAATAAAAAGCTTACAGAAATAGCTGTTCTGTATATTGTGTTTCCATGGATGTGCACAGAAATTGGTGGTGTATGGTTATGTGAAGGCAATGGGCTAGACTGTGATTCCTTTGCTTGAAGTCAAGTTAAACAAATGAGGTGCTCCTACAGCTGTGGTCTTGACTGTCATTCTCATTTCTTGCAGGAACAGGTTTGGGCTTTCAGACTTCTTGGTTCTCAAGACTGGGAGTTGGGCAGGAAACCTGACAGTCCCAAGTGTAATTCTTCTGCAGTTTGTTGTGAACATGAAAAGCAAGGCTTCTCTTGGGTCTTGGGGTTGTGACCCCATGAGGGTGCTAAAGATGAGAACAAAACCTCGAATTTGCTGAGGGATCCCAGTATTGATGGCAGAGCTGTAGGGCACAGTGGCAAAGGGCTGAGGGCAGCTTATCTGGGCAGCTGTCACCCAGTGTGATGGGATCATTGCCTGAACTAGCCTTGAAGCTATCATGGAGCAGGGCACTGCTCTTCAGTCCAAAGCAAGGAGAGAGGCTAAGCCTGGTGACATGGAACCTGTTTTTGGGTTTGGTGCAGCCTTCTCACCTGGGGTAAAGGATATTAAAAAAATTCAACTTTCTGTCTATCAGCTGTGGATTCTTTATTGTAGGCAAAATGCCTTGATGATTGTGAAAAACACAAATCATGCAGAAATTCTGTCATATAGAAAGACTCAAGAGGCCTAGGCAGTCTTGTCATTAGCTGCATGGCAGAGCCCTATCAATGTGTTTCTAATGTGTGATCCCAGAACAATTTGATTTAGACAGCAAACTACCAGAGGCAGGACTAGAAGATACCTCAAGATGTGTTTAAGCCTGCCACCCTGCCTCATCCAAAAGTAAGGTTCCCTAACTCATTCCTGCCAGATGTTTGGCAAGACGTAGGAGTGGGTTAGACAGCGATGGAAATTCCAGCCTCTTCAGGCAAACTGTTTACTTAACGATCTCGCTGTTGAAGAAACACAGCTAGACAAGAACTGCTGATACTCTGTTTAGGCCAAACCAAATGATTAGAAATTTATTAACCTATTTGCTTGCAGAAGTACAGTCTGAGACAGACTGCTCTATGAATATGTTGCATTCCAAGCACCTTGAGAGGACCAAATTTTGGGATTCCTTTGAAAAAAGTCCTGAGGAACAGCTTGCATCAGTTTGGTTGTGCTGTATCTGTAAACAGTTGCATTCCCCAGTGATGGCAAGGCCATCTGCAACCACTGTGCAATGCACTTATGACCGGTCTGCCTCATCTTAGGCTGGTGGCTGACATCCTTGCCCTTGCAAAGCCTACGTGATTTGTTTGTTCAGAAAGACATTTTGTGAAGGCATTTAAATAAGATGTTTCTTGAGCAAGTTTGCTGTGAGAACACGCAAGTTGATCCTTAAAATTACCAGAACCGAAAAAATTGAGATGAATTGTGTAGTGTTTTTGACCTTGGCATTAATCTCTTACCTCCCACTGTGAATTGATAAAATTACTGCATGAGCCACTGATTAGCTTACAGGGTTACCCAAATGGTTGGCATTTTAGCACTGTAGAAGACTTCCCAGATTAGGCTGCCTGTTTGTGCTTGTACAGTGTGTTCAGCACTTAAACCAAAGGCATCAAACAGTAAAGTTGCAAAACCCTGTGGGCTTATGCTGTGACCAATTTTCCAGGACAGCAAATCATTCCCCATGCTGCTGAAGGGCGGGCAGGCTGTGTTACCGAGTACAGTTGTTTCTGTAGCAAAGATGAAGCTTTAGAA